GTGTCAACAAGTGCAGATCTGGGAGACAGACCCAGACACTCTTCTTCAGATCTGCTCTTCACCAGCACCCAAGAAAATAAACGAACGCAGCACAGGAGTTTTGTGAAGAAAGAATGTTAGCTGAATACACGCTTATCCCCCTCTGTGGAATAAACCCAGTCCTTGAAAACCCATGGCGGGGAGGGGCGCAAATCCAGACTCTTCTCTAAATGATGGCGCATCTCAGATTTTGAGCACCCACCTGTGGATAAAGCCTTTGGGACCACCCACTCGGTACACTGATCTCAAGATATCATCTCGCTCTTTTTAAAATTTATTTTGACAGATGGGGTGTGGGCCGGACTCAGTGGTTCATGCCTGTAATCCCAGCACTTTGGGAGACTGAGGCGGGCAGATCACGAGGTCAGAAGTTCGAGACCAGCCTGACCAGCATGGTGAAACCTTTGTCTCCTCTAAAAATACAAAAAAATTTAGATGGGTATGGTGGCGTGCCTGTAATCCCAGCTACTCAGGAGTCTGAGGCAGGAGAATAGCTCCCAGGAGGTGGAAGTTGCAGTGAGCTGAGATCACGCCACTGCATTCCAGCCTGGGTGAGAGGGAGACTCCATCTGAAAAAAAAAAAAAATGACAGATGGTATCCTTTGTAAGTTATTCCTAGTCTTTGGCTCTGGGGATCCTTGCCTGTGTAGGAGGGTAAATCACCAAGAAGCAAGCTGGCTCTCGGGAGAATTGTTGAGTGGGACACTTTTAGCTCCAACTTGGCCGTTTTGTGAGGTAGGGAAGCGTTGCTCTTTTCATTTGGCGTTCGAAGTACATTAAGAACAATGAACATCGGGTGCTTGTGCGTACACAGTGTCAGGCTACCCTTAGACAGAACGCCTTGGCTTCAGCCTTCTTTCAAGTGACGAAGCAGAACTTGGCTAACACCCTTCATTTTTTCCCCTTAAAACACGTAACTCTATGCTATTTGTGGTTTTATATTAGCCTTTTGGTTGTAGCCATGGTAGGTCTAGAAATCTTAAACTGATAACATACGACTATATCTTATCCAGGAACAAATTTTGTGTTGCCCCCCCCACCCCAGCCGCAGTGTTTAATTAGTTAATTAATTAGTAACTTTGCCCTCTCAACCCAGCTTTTCCTCACTCTAGGAAGAACTAGAAAGCAGGGGACTAATTTATTTTTGAAACACTAGTTTCCATTGAGCAAAATTAAGAAGATTTTTAGAAAAATGTGGATTTCCCGATTTTCTTAAAAGGTAGGAAAATTAGGCAACACCACAGCTTCCTCCAGAGCAGCAGCACTTTGCTGAAGCTGTGCGTGCTCTTTCAGGCCATGCTCTGGGTGCTCCAGTACTCCCTGGCACTGTGCTTCCACTTGACTTCTGCAGGCTTCTGAATTTAACTCCCTGGTGGACAAGATCAAGGAGTCTTCTGAAATGTCCAAAATAAACACGTGATTCCAGGCCAGTCTAGTAGTGTTCAAAATTCAAATGTAGAATGTTCAGCCTGGGTACCAGACATTGCCGAGGGCACTACTCTCCTCTGACATCTCACCTTCCCTGAGGACTTCTTCCAATTCTTTTCTTTTCTCCCTCTCCGTCTCTCTCTCTCTCTCTCTCTCGCAAGATGGAGTTTTGTTCTTGTTGCCCAGGCTAGAGTGCAACGGTGTGATCTCAGCTCACTGCAACCTCCACTTCCCGGGTTCAAGAGATTCTCCTGCCTCAGCCTCCTGAGCAATTGGAATTACAGGCATGTGCCACCATGCCTGGCTAATTTTTGTATTTTTAGTAGAGACGGGGTTTCTCCATGTTGCTCAGGCTGGTCTGGAACTCCCGACTTCAGGTGATCCGCCCGCCTCAGCCTCCCAGAAGTGCTGGGATTACAGGCATGAGCCTCCAGGTTTTCTCTGCCTGCTGATGAGCTCCTGAAGGGGCCACCATCACATCACTGTTCAGGCCTGATTTCACTTAATCGTTTCTGTGTCTGGAGGGCAGAGGCATTCTTTTAAATTATACTTTTCTCTCCCCAGCCAACACTTTGCACAGTTCTTTGCATATCATAGACACTCCATAAATGTGGAAATTAGAAAATGCCATGCTGGGAATTAGCCATAACACATCTGGGTGCTGATGGAAGTCAAGGGTTGAAAGATCATCCAGAAGGATGCAAGGGGACAAGTAGTATGATGAGGGGCAGGTTGAGATGGAAAGAACCAGTAATAGAGAAGGGATAATTGAGTATAGGGGTTCAAGGATGAAGGTCTAGGCAGAAGCCTCAGAAAGTGTGGTCCTGGGGAGATTTGGGGCAGCTTGGTGGGGCCGGAGAGCTGAGACGGCCCTTCTGAAAGACTCCTTGACTCTTCTCTTTCTCTCCCACTTCATATTCAGTTCTTCAGAGAATTTAATCGACTCTGCCTTCTAAATGCTTCCAGACTCCACCCACTTCCACAACCTGCATCACCACCAGCCTAGCCTAAGCCATGATCGTCTCTCACCTGCACATTGGAAAGACCCTCCCATTCAGTGCCCCTTGTCCACTCCTACCTTCTGATGCTCTCTTCGAGTTACCCATGCTCCCCAGGTTAGAAGGTCCTACTAGATTTGGCCCCTTTGACCTCTCTGACCACATTCCTCCTTGTCCTTCTCTTTTATGCATTCCAGACACACTCACACACCTTTTATTTTCTGAACATGTTAAGGGGCTTTGCACTCGCTATTCCCTGAACTTGGAATATTCTTCCTCTGGAAATCTCCAGCTCTCACACCCTCCCTGTAATTAGGTCTCTTCTCAAATGTCATCCTCTGAGAGGTTTTTTTTTTTTTTTGAGACAGAGTCTTGCTCTGTCGCCAGGCACCAGGCTGGAGGGCAGTGGTGTGATCTCGGCTCGCTGCAACCTCTGCCTCCCGGGTTCAAGCAATCCTTTTGCCTCAGCCTCCTGAATAGCTGGGACTACAGGCACATGCCATCACCACCACACCTAGCAAAGAGTCCTTCTTCCCAATGTAACCCCCAAACATACACACTATTTCTTTTCTGTTTTTTGTTTGTTTTGGAGACACTCTCCCTGTGTAGTGTGATCTCAGCTTGCTGCAAACTCCGCCTCCCAGGTTCAAGTTTTTCTCATGCCTCAGCCTCCCAAGTAGTTGGGACCACAGGTGTGTGCCACCATGCCTGGCTACTTTTTGTATCTTTTGTAGAGACTGTGTTTTGCCATGTTGGCCAGGCTGGTCTAGAACTCCTGACCTCAAATGATCCATCTGCTTTGGCCTCCTGAAGTGCTGGGATTACAGGCGTGAGCCACTGTACCCGGCCACACATTTCTTTGCTCCACTTTTTTTCAGAACATGTTACGTTATATTATAGACTTGTTTCACTGTCTGTGTTTCCCACTAGAATGTAGGCTTCATGAGAGCAGAGACGTTTCTTGACACATAGCAGGTGCTCGGTAAACAAATGACGGAGTCTAGCAGATGGGAACTGAGAGCTGCCGGAGTCACAGGTGTCTCTGGGAAAGAGGTAATAAATAACACACGAGAAAAGATTCCTGGTCGGGTGCGGTGGCTCAAGCCTGTAATCCTAGCACTTTGGGAGGCTGAGGCAGGTGGATCACAAGGTCAGAAGTTCAAGACCAGCCTGGCCAGCATGGTGAAACTCCACCTCTACTAAAAGTACAAAATTAGCTGTGTGTGGTGGCACACGCCTGTAGTCCCAGCAACTCAGGAGGCTGAGGCAAGCGAGTCGCTGGAACCTGGGAGGTGGACTTGTAGTGAGCTGAGATGACACTACTGCACTCCAGCCTGGGTGACAGAGTGAGAACCTGTCTCTTAAGATAAAATGAAAAATAAAACGTATATCTGATAACCATACTCCCTTATTCAACACCTTCAGTGGCTTCCCTATGGCCCCAACCCCTTAACACACCGTACAGCGCCCTCTAGGTCCTGGCGTCCAATTTTTTCTCAGCTCATTGCTTGTCACTTCTCTCCTACAGTCGGGTTTGGGCCCAGCAGAGCGTCCTGCTCCTCTAACCGGGCTCCTCTAACCGGGCTCCTCTCTGGGCCTGCAGAGGTGCTGTTTCTTCAGTGTGCCATTCCTCCCCTCTGTCTCCTCTGCTGCTGCCTTCTGCTTCTTGGCATTCAACTGAGTTTTCTTTTCCTCTAAGAAGCTTTCCTGGGACCTACCCCGACCAAAGCTCCCTCCTCCTGGCTCCTCCCCCAGTAACACAGGGTTGGGGGCTCTGAATTTGCTTTCTCAGCACTGTACTTTTCTTGTCATGTTCATGTAATGCTCTGTACCCCCACTGGACTGCAAGTTCCGTGAGGGCAGAGTGGTCTATTCTGCTCTGGTCGCCTTGTGATGGTGTCTGTCCAGTGTGGTTAAGCAGTGAGCGAATGAAAAAGCACTTGCTTTACGGGGCGTTGCTCATAAAATAATAGCTTATATTTACTGACCACTTATGATGTATCAGGCACCATTCTAAACACTTTACAAGTATCTCGCAGACTTCTCACACAACCCTCTCGAGTAGGGGTTATCTCTCCACAGAACAGGTGGGGAAATTGAGGCACAGAGAGATTAAGTAACTTGGCCAGGGGTCACAGCGAGGAAGTGGAGGAGCCGGCGTTAGAACCCAGGCTGTTTCCAGAGTCCAAATTCTATCCGAGAGTGAAGTGCAATCTGGGGTTGCACTGTACGAACAGATTTAAGTCGCCAGCAAAGGGCTTTGTTTTTGCTTCCAGGAGAAAGGACGAGCTTCTGCGCCGCCGGCTTCCCGGCTCGTGGGTCGCCTGCCGGGCTTTGGAAAGGGCCTGCACGTCGCCGGCGGTCCCGGAGTCCGGGCGTGAAGCCCTGATTAACTTTCCCGGCTGCCCGGCCCGCACGCCAGCCCTGCCCGGGTCTTGCGGTGCCCCCGGCCACCCACGTGCCCCCGCCAGGCCCGGGGCCCGGACTCGCGTCTCCGGGGGCGGGGCAGGGGGCGGGGCCGGGCCGCGCTCCGAGGCCGCCGCCCTGGCCCCGCGCTCGCCTCTCCGGGTGCAGCGGGCCGGGCCGGAGCTGGCGGGGCGGGGACTCGGGAGGGGCCGCAGCGCGGCTGCCGGTGCCGTTGCGGGAGAGGAGGAAGCGGCGCGTCCCCTGAGGCGTGCGCCGGGACGGACCCCGGGCCTGCGGGACGGACGCGCGCGGAGGGAGAGGGCCGGGGGCGAGGTCAGGCTCGGCGGGGGCGCGGGCGGCGCCGGGGAGGGGGCGGCAGCGAGGGGAGCCCGGGCCCGCGGGAGGGAGGCGGGGCGCGGGGAGCGGGGCGCGGGCCCGGCGCAGGGTCCGCTCGGGGTCGGGCCGAGACCCCTCCCTTGGCCGGGCGGGCGCGCGGCGAGCGCGCTCCGGCTGCGGAAAGCGGAGCCCCCGACTCCCTTCGTCTCTGGTCTCTTTTCTTTCCAATCAGCGAGAAATAAACACCCGGGAAGGTAAAACAATAGCGGGGCCACCTGGGACGCGTCGCGCGCAGAGCTCGCGTGGTCCGGGCGGGGGCCGGGAGTCGCGGCCCCTCCGAGGAGCCCCTTCCCGATTTGCCCCCGCGGAGGGTGGGGCTACCCGCGGCGCCGGGGCTCGGTAGGAGGTGACGGGAATTCCCAGGAGTGAAGCCTTTGGTGAAAGTATTTCAGGAACAATCGGGCTTCCCGCTGTTGCCCTACTCTGGGCAGGGAAACTGAGGCGGAGGGAAAGACAGCGACTTGCCCAAGGTCAGAATGCAGAGGTTGACTGTCCTGGTCCAGGAACCGGCCCCGGGTGTCCGGACCAGCTCGGCGCTCAGCCCCTCTGGGTGTTGCAGCTTTGCCTTTGATGAAAATCTCTGTTGCGTTTGTCGTAGACATCTGCTGGCGCTGGGGACTGCTTCAGGGCTGCGGAACGCCAACTTGCTTCGTGTGCTCCAGGCAGGTGTGGGGCAGGTGGCGCCTCCGTGACCTACCACCATCGATGGAAACGGGCTTTTGGTGAAGAAACCCAAACGGTTGATGCCAGCCAGGGTGACTTGGCCGTCAAAGGTTTTGACAAAACGTGCTCTGTTCCCTTTGGGGAATCCGAATGAGGGAGATCACAGACACCTTCACTGGGAAGCCAAGGACATTTCTGTATAATCAGTGGATGAAAGGATTTTCTCAGACTCTTTTTTCCCTGTTCCTGGAGGATTAATCCGCTGCAAGCTCCAATTCCAGTGGAAACTGCAAGGCACACGATGTGGCAGGAGCCTGGAGCGCCTTCGGAATTGTTGTGGACCCTTCCTGTAGCATAGGGGAGTTTTCACACTTGCCTCCACTCCTCCCCTTCCCCTCAACCGCCTCCTTTCTGATCTCTTCTCTTTAATTTGTTTCCATTTTTCTGAGTTAAGTTCTATTTCCAAAACTGTTCTCTGGAGCTAAAAGTGGATTGCCAGAAATGAGAGATTAGGAGCTGGGAGAAGAGGAAGCGCCCTGTGTTGTGTCTCCTGAAGGCTGCCGACATGAAGTGCTTTTTCCCGGTACTGAGCTGTCTGGCTGTGCTGGGTAAGTGGCTCTGCTTATCAGTGCAATCGATGTGAAAGTTTAACTTGCTCTTGGTTCCTGTAATTTCTTGTGGTTCTTTTTCATTAACACTAGGCTTTGGGGGACACCAGGAGACAGCCGGTGTGTGTCACAGGTTGGAGTTGAGTTACCAAGAGGCCCGTTTCTGACCCAGGAGCAACGGGGGAATATCATTTGTTGTCTTTAAGAAGGAACATTTGCTGTTCTTAAAAGTGTGGGTCTTGGGCCCTGGGCTGAGGTCCTGCGTCTGCACATCTCTGGTTTAGGGACTTCCTGTGGCTGGTGGGCTGCTGTCTTGTAGCATGACAAACATGGATGCTCTGCTGTTTTCACTTCTTTGTTGGCCTGAATTGATTCCTGATTGGGAGCGGGAACATAATTCCCCTCCATCTCGGAAGTTGGTTTGCTGTTAATGATGGTGCCTTTTTTGAGGTGGAAATGGGAGTAAGTGGGATGGGGGCTGAAGGCATGCTTTGCCTACTTGAGTGGCGTGTAGGCTAAAAATGGGAGGGCGCTAGTCCTGTGTCTCCTCACCAAGGAAGCTTAGATCACAGTTCTGGGAGAGAGAGAGTCTGAAGTAAAGGAAGCTGCCTGGTAGGGGAAGTGTTGGGATTGGCTTTTGTGCTCCCACTAAAGATCAGAATGCTTAGAGTGGGAAGAAGAAACTATGGCCCTGAGAGGTGAACCTTTGACACCTCTCTTAAGGATCAGCATGAAGAGGCCCCAGCAGAGAGGCTCCTCTGCTCAACAGTTGCCTATTCTTTTTATGCCATTGAGTCCTGTCTTCAGCTTGCTGTCTTAGAACACATCTCAGGTCTAGGACAAACTTCATTGCCAGGATTTGGCGCCATTCTCTTTCCCATCTGAGACCTCATACAAGAGCACACCCTCTGCCCTCTCTGTAAGGCTTAGTCCTCTGTGTTCAGAAGGGATTATGATTGTTGCCTGCAGGGTTCACATCTCCAAATCTAGGTGTCCTGCACGTAGGGGACTTCCTGGTGATCTGTGGGCGGTGGAGATTGCTTCCATACGATGTCTGCACCCTTGCAATAGTTAACAGGTGTGTGGGAAGAGAATGGACTTTACAGTTAGGGGACCTGAGTTCCTCTCCCAGGTTCACCATGACTGACACCTGAATATCAATAAAACAGAAACAACAAAACAAGGGAAGGTGTGACAATTAGAGGATATAGGGCGTCCTAAATGCCTTGACTGCCTTAAAGAATGTCTGAAACGCTAATAGATTTGTTCAGTCTGTGGTTCTCAAACTCTCGTGTGCATGTTGGAATCACTGGGGAAGCTTTTAAAAATTCTGATTTCGGGAAACAACTCAGATCAGTGAAAGCAAACTCGCTTGCGGGGTAGGACCCAGGTATCGGCCTCTGAGCTCTCTCAGGTAATTTCATGCATGGTTCAGTTAGAGAACCAGTGGGTGAGTTCATTAGGGCCAGCGCTCCACCACCCAGCGCAGGCAGACACCCTGCTGGCAGTGAGTTTAGTCATCTTCTGTTCAGCTGTGGGCTGGGATACAGGCAGTGTCTCTGTGTCACCTGTATGCTCAGGCAGAGTCAAGAAGGCAGGGAGCCCTCCATTTGCTAGTTTCTTCATATTGGAGCTATGTTTGTTGTACCGTATGTGTCATTCGCTTAATGCCTGGGTTTACATCAGCAATCAGTGATTCATGCGGATTCAACAGGACACAAACAAGGAAAGCCCTTGGGGAGGTTTGGATGGGGGGGTGGGGTGCGTGGCTAAGGAGGGAAAGAGGGCAGAGTGGCAGGGTGGGGCTGGGGCAGGAGAAGTAACCGTGAATGGGAAAACCAAGCAATGTGACATTTGTGCCTTTTGTTTCTTCTGGCTGCTTAAGAAATGTAAGGCTTCCTGCTGGTCCCCCTGCTGTTCGCTCTCTGGGCCACTCTGCGGAGTGGAGCTTGGTCCCTGGCACCTGGCAGGTGCTGTCATTTTCCTTCCACCCCCACCTTCATGTGTAAACTGGTGCCATGGAGGAAAATGAGCATCAAGGTTGCTTTAAAGGGGCATGGTGGCAGACGCCCAGATGCTGCTGAAGTGGAAGGTTTGGAACTGTAGGCATGCATGTGGATCTCTGCCTGATTTAGAGCCCCGCTGGTGGAACCTCGTCTTTCTCTTTACTTGCTGGGTTTCAGTATGGCGGGAAGGAGGCCTGGCTACTACTTTCTTAATCTGAGAGAGGCAGAAGGCTTTTGGGGAGGGAGCAAAACCCATGCTGGGGTCTTATTTCCTGCCTGCAGTCTGCTGTGGTCTGATTCATGTGTCAGCATTCTTGCTGTGTAATATGAATTAATGTGAAGTGTGAATTTAAAACAGCAAAGAATCCTAACGTTTTAAGCTCATGTAGGTCACATGCCTGGTATAAAATTTTGTTTAAAAAAGTTGGGTAAGGCTAAGTGCTCTGGAAAGTGAGACTGATGCAGGTGCCAGCCTCTATACATGGCTCTTTAGTTAGAAAACCCCATGACAGTATGTGAGGGGGAGACAGGGTAAATCTCGGAGACACTCTCAACTCCCTTGACATCACAGACCTGTGCTTTTCTGCTGCCATCCTTTGCCGGTGTCTGGGTTGGGAATCAGATTCCTCTTTTTCTGTCTATTGGGATACTGATTCCTGCTTATTTCCTTGCCCTGCCCTGCCCTTTGTTTTTGTACCTGCTCTCTTGACCTCTGTGTCTTGTTTCCTTCTGTCCTAATCCTAGGTACCTCACCCAACAAGGGTTGTGCATCAAGGTTGCTTTAAAGGGGCACGGTGGCAGACGCCCAGATGCTGCCCAGGGCATGTCTCTGCCACCACAACCCTTGGTTCCAATTACAAAGCTATTTAAGCCTGGCCCTGGTTAAGCCATGAGCGTAGAAAGTCTTTACTTGAGAATAGATGTAGCCAGAGGGGCAGAAGATGAGAGACAGAGTAGAGGCTGGTGCAGTGGTAGGAAGGGAAGGGTGATTGGAAATGTGCCTGGGAGCAGCCTGCATGAGTGACAATGACATGGGAAGATGACAGCAATGTGGGAGAGAGAGAATAGGCTTTGTATCTGCTAGAACAGGAAGGAAATTCTCAGGAAAGATGAATATAAGCTTTAGCCACATAAAGCACATTTTGAGCTTGTGCAGCCATGAAGAGTTATACCTCCCAGACCAGCGCTGATGTTGCAGACAAGATTAAATAGCTTTAAAAGTGTTAGCAACGAAAAATGTAGCAGATTGGGACATCTGAGAACCTGTAGATGGCAAATCATCATTTGTGTTCTGCTCCAGAGGGATAGAAGTTCATTTGTAGAGTTTGGGGAGTCTCTTGTTTGAATGGGATAAGGCTGAGGAAGCCATCACTTACTTCCCAGTTAGTTAAAGAAGGCTTCTTGAGGGAGAGGCCAGAGGGTGCTTCTGAAAGGGATTGAAAGAAACTTTGAAGTACTCGTGGGTGTGACCTTAGAGGCAGGGCTGCAGTGATCAAAAGCAGAAGAGAAAGAGGAGGCAGAGGAAAGTGAGATATTTGGAGCAATCAGTAGAAGAGTTGTGAAAGAAAGGGATGAGGATTGTGATTTATGGATGAGCAGACACCACTGTCCTGATAGTTGTCCCAGAGGCAGTGCACTTCCCTTGCCTGGGGACCGTTTGACAGGGGTGCAGGAGGAGAACATTCTTGTCAGGAGAACTTCACCTACTAGGATGTCTTTATTTCTATTTTTATTTATTTATTTATTTTTGAGAAGGAGTTTCGCTCTTGTTACCCAGGCTGGAGTGCAATGGCACGATCTTGGCTCACTGCAACCTCCGTCTCCTGGGTTCGAGCATTTCTCCTGCCTCAGCCTCCTGAGTAGCTGGGACTACAGGCACGTGCCACCATGCCCAGCTAATTTTTGTATTTTTAGTAGAGACGGGGTTTCACCATGTTGACCAGGATGGTCTCGATCTCTTGACCTTGTGGTCCACCCGCCTTGGCCTCCCAAAGTGCTGGGATTATAGGCGTGAGCCACCACGCCCGGCCTAGGAAATACCTTTAAGCTGTGAGAATCATTGAGCTACCTCCAGGTATCCCCAGGGCTGTGTAAAGATGTTGCCATCTTCTACAGTTTTCATGGCAGCAAGACTGCTGGTACTTCCATAACAGCAGTAATACCAGCATTCCTAACTCTAGTCCTTATTGTGACCCAAGCCCTATATCATTCAGTTTTCAAAACAACCCTGCAAGATAGATAACCTTGCATCATCACATTTTTATAGATGGGGAGATTGAAGCTTAGGGAGGTTAAGTAACTTGCCTAAGCTGGGCGTGGTGGCTCATGCCTGCAATCCAAGCACTTTGGGAGGCTGAGGCGGATGGATCACTTGAGGTCAGGACTTCAAGACTAGCTTGGCCAACAAGGTGAAACCATGTCTCTACTAAAAATACAAAAATTAGCCAGGCATGGTGGTGCATGCCTGTAATCCCAGCTACTTGGGAGGCTGATGCAGGAGAATCGCTTGAAACTGGGAGGCGAGGTTGCAGTGAGACAAGATTGTGCCATTGCACTCCAGCCTGGGCAACAGAGTCTCGCTCTGTTTCAAAAAAAAAAAGGTAACTTGCTTAAGATAGATTGCTGACAGTGTTAGGGCTCCAAGCCCCTTCTGTCTTGCCCTCTATTCCCAAGATGATTTCATGGTCTAAGATGACTCTTCTAGCGTCAGCCATCAGGAAGGAAGAAGAGGGCGAGTGATGGATAGGACCTTTTAATGTAAGGATACTTACCGGAAGTTATACACATTACTTCTGCTAACATTCTCATTGGCTAGAACCTAGTCATGTGACCATACTTAGCAGCAAAAGGGCTGGAAAATATGCTTATCTTGAGGGTCCATGTGCCCTGAGAAAAACTTGGGATTCTATGACTGTAGGGAAAAAAGAGAACAGATTTTGGAGAACAGCTGCCCGTCTCTGCCATAGTCACAAAGCTAAAAAGTGGCAGAATAGG